CTGCTAAATAGCAGGCATTAGGGACTCAGGGGTATATCCAGGACTGAGCAAAAACAAACAGACGCAAACCCACAGAGTCTGGGTCCACAGGGAAAGTGTGAGAAGTTTCTCTTAAGGCAATGCAACATTAACAGATGCTCCATTTCATTTTTCAACGAATGGTGAAAGGGAACATGCTCTCCTGCATTCAGATTGCTGCCTTCCTGCACTTCATCATCTAAGCGCAGAAAATTCTTTGAATGGCTATCTTCTCACTTCTCCCAAAGATGATGCATTTAACTAGTCTTAGACAGGTGCACAGGAGAGAATTTAATCCATTATGGACAACAGATGCCTTAGGGACTAACGTCTCAATTCAGTGAGGAACCTCGGTTGGGAAGGATTATCATTTATCCATACACGTCTGTCTTTATAAGAAAGAGACAGTGGGCTCCAGAAGACAATAGCCTTACAGTGTCTGCTATAGACTAGGGATTTGGTAAACATCTATCAAATAAATATGCACAATGGAGGCATGCAAACCTGTAGACGACTTCTTCCCTACAACTCTTGCCAGCCTGAGCCTGACATCACTCCACTCAAAGTCTTCCTAATGGACTACTGGATGACAGGTACTAGATTAGTGCCTCCTTTTTTCCTCTTGGGGAGGAGGGACATAACAGAATCCTCAGAGGCAAAACTGTCTATCTTCTAAGGAAAATAAAAGTGCACATACACTAGACTGCATGCATAATTTCAGGGATTCACATGCCACCACTGGAAATCTGTGACCCTCGGGTTAAGAACCCCTATACTAAACTATTAAAAAGTTAGACTTGAGTGAATGTCAAAACCCTAACCAGCCAAATCTATTTACTTGGCAAAAATAAAAACAAAGGAGCCAAACAGACCTGGGTTTTAATCTAGGATTTATCATTTGCTAACTGTGTGAGAACAGAAAAGTCAAATTGTTTTTCTCAGCCTCAGTTTCCTCATCTGCTAAATGGGTTAACAGTAGTTGCTAATTCCATGTTAATGTCAAGCTGAAACAAGCAAAATATGGCATGCTTGCTATAGTGCCCCATACACAGTAAATGGTCATAAATGGAAGCCACCACCACTTTCTCTTTGGTCTACAGACTCTACACTTACCTCCCACTCCCACCTTCATCTCCATTAAGAACTGTATTGTAATTCTCATGAGCTATCAGGGGAAAGACAGATAATAAGAGCCCCTAAGATCACAAAACACAGCCCTAATATTTTCTCCCCCAATACAATGCTTGATTTTAGCCTATGGAGGCCCTTCTGACAAGACAGACAGCAATCCCCCTCTGCATAAATCCATATCAGCCATCAGCACACAGTTGTTCTATTAGGCCAAGTCAGTTTTTAGAGGCAGGCCTATTAAGTTAACTTAAAATGGAGGTGAAAAGGACATGTTTGATCTAATGCTAAACTGCAGAAACACACTGACAGAGAAATAAGGCAGAGGAATTAGTTTCCTAAAATTATTCTCTGTGATACCCTTAGGTAACATTGGATATTTAAGGACCTCACTCAGCCTTTCTAACCCACTTCCCAGCTCTCCTCCCAACCCTGATAGCTAAGGCACCATATTGGTTCTTATGTTTTCAGCTCTTCTCTGCTTTTAAGACCATTCAACACTCAACGCAGGATCCAGAAAGGTGGATTTTAAAGTTACACAAAACCTATCACTCAGATTCCTTCTTCAGATGAATTTCTCAAGCGTTTCTAAATATTTGAGTTCAAGAAAAAAAGTAAGCATTTCCACTTTAAAACAATCTTTCATCTCTAGTGATGCAAATTTTCTTTGTTTAACAAATCCACATACCACTAGCCAGTGTTTAATGGGGCCTTTATTTAACATCACTAACCCTGTGAGTTGCACAGTCAAGCCTGAAAGTTACAGATAATAATCTCATTAACAGCAGCAAATTGGTTCAAAGATGAAATATGTATCAATATGTCTAAGAATGCTGTAAAGCTCCATACTTCAGAACTGCAGGAAAAGTGTAATTAATTCCTCCAGCACTCACAATGTATGCCTGACACTCTTATAAGCAAATGGTCTTTGATGTTGCATGAAAAAGATAATAAAAGTAATTAACAGCATTTCATATCCACACATTGTTTTCACAACTTTCACAGATGATGTCAAAAAAGAAAAGCTCTCTGTTCTAACAGAGCACACTGTGACCTTGGGAAAGTTATTTAAGCCTAAAATGCACATGAAGAGAACCAAGAATCCTGTGACTAATCCCAAGGTTTGAATTACTCTCTCTCAAACACACACTTCTTAACCAGGCCTCCCCGCTACCCTCAACCATGCAAATGACTGAGCAGATACTCTATAAGCATCTGGGCAAACCAGACTATGATAAGGTATCTACTGTACAAACACACACACACACACACACACACACACACACACACCCCTCCCCCTTCATTGCATGTAACAGGGAGGGAAACAAATCAGTAATACAAACCAATTTCCTATCTTAGAATTCTTAAAGAAGAGAGACTCCCAAACAGGTTTTTTTTCCTCGCCTAAAGCAGGAACAGTGCTACTGAACCCCACTGGAAATAGCAAAAGCAATGTTATAGTGCTACTATTTAGGTTGAGTTGTAGAAAATGAACTCTGCTCTGAAGACCAGAAAGTATTCAATAGCAAATCCTGCAGAGGTTTTTTTAAAGATAAAAAAAATAAAATAAAAGGAGGGCACTTAGAAAACGTGATTCATCTGAAGCTGAACACCAATTTGTTTCTCCTGCATTCTCATGTCTCATGAAAAAGGTTACAATCCCTCTCAGCAGTCCTAAAAAACATTAGCTTTCCTTACAAAAACCGTTTTCAGGGCTGACAGGGGCCACACTAGTTCCTTAAACTGGGTAGTGTATTCGAAGAACTAATAAAAGCATGCCAGCCTCTGTACACATACAGCCCTGAAAGCCACACTGCACCCCTCCGTGCATAGAGGCTCAGCGAGTAGGCCCCCACAATGAAGGTACTAAAGATATAGAGTGAGAATACCGAGAAATGACTATTCAAACAGCTCAGATAAACTCACTAATATTACTGCAGTTATAAGGGAATTAAGGACACCTATTAGTGATTGCTTAACAGGTAAACTTATTAAATACCATTTAAGTCATTTTTCTTTACTTAGCAATTGTTGACTTTTTTTTTTTTTTTTTTTTTTTTTGGCTAGGCTAATGGACTACAAAAGAGTTAGATAAGCACTTCAAAAAGTTTCAAAAGAGAATGATTCCTTCTGCCAAATTCACACATTATCTCTCCACTCACAAGGATAAAATAGTTACAAATGGTGTGTTTAAACTGCTAATTTTGTATTAAATGGTGAACCCAGGATTATCTCCAAAGTACAGCACTACTCATAATGGATAGCTCGCCAAACTACCATGGAGAAAGACTACAAGTTAAAACACTGCAGATAAAAATCGCAAACTTCAAAAGTCTCCTTCAAAAAGTGAAGTGCCACGTTAAAACATCTTTCCTCTTGGGAGACCGTAAATCAAACATTTCTAAAGCCATCAGGGCACAGTGGAATCCTCAAAGAGAAACAAGGAGTCACAGATAGTAAGCTCTAAGATTCAAACTCGTCTTTAAGGCTGCGACTGAAATGTGTAGGAATCTTCAGCAGAGCATCGTCCCTAAAGCTTATAAAGGCCATAATTATAACATTAAAGAAAAATGTCCAAAAGCCTTTAACATATGTAGTCACGGGGCTCAAACGACATGTGCTTCCCCTTCTATTTACCCCGCAGAAGTCTAAGATGGGAATAAGAGCCCTGTAAGACAATGCTGCTAATTAATCATCCAGCAGAGGTGCCTCCCCAGCTTTGTAAAGACACACCTCTAAGGAGCCAAGCGGCACAGCTCCCGGTCCTATCCACGCAGAGCTTTGAGTCCACACCAGGGGAGGGGAAAGGAAGAGATTGCTGTGCAGTCATTCCATACAGTCCCCTTCTCTTCATTCATAACTCATCCAATGATAAAGCGCAGAAGGCCCAAGGCTTGGGCCCTGCAGCCATCCCCATCACCCGTAAAGGTTCAAAAAACAAGCCAACCATTTCAAATTGCCCCATCCGAGGCATGCATATTAACCACCACAAGTTGCGCTGGCCGTCCACCAGCAAGCTGATTAAATCGTGGCCAAAGAAGCAGGAAGGCATCTCTACCCCGCTCACCATCCGCGGAGGCTAGAGCTCAGCCTGACGCTCTCCCTAGCCAGCGTGCTTTGAAATGCAGACCTCTTTCACAGGGAGCAAGGTGAAGGCCCTGTCAGTGAACGACCCTGTCTCCCTATTCCCACGCCCTCCTTAGAAGTCCTTGGCCCCGGAGCAGGCAGGCAGTCTCCCTCCCACCCTCTGTAATCGGAGGCACGCAGAGAGGACTGCGTTCCACGGCCACTCTAGGGCACTCCTCCTCGGCCAGCTTCCCCTGTTCCCCTCCCTGCTGCTGCTCGTCCGGAGTCCTAAAAAGGATCAGCCCCCAGGTGAGGCGGGCGGCAGGTTCCAGGGAAGAACCTGATTGTACAACCCCTCAGACAAACTGGGCTGCTCCCAAAACGAACGTGCATGGATGAAAAGCAAAGTCTGCTACCTGAAACAAGCCACCCCATCCTTCATCGCTCATCTTTCCAAAGTTAGCATTCAACAGGTAGTTCCCGGGACTTCCACCTGAGGCAAACCAAAATGCCCAACCCGCCCAAGGGGCCTGCCCCAACGGGGGTGCCCAGACCCGAGATTCTTCTCACTGCCCCCCAGACTCACAGGAGGCCGAGCCCCCACGTGCGCTTGCCCCCAGCTCTGGCGCCCCGGAGGCCGCGTCCCGCCCGCCCTCCCGCCAGGGAGGGATGCCGCCGGCCTCCTCGCCGCCCCTCCCGCCCGCCAGCCCGCGGCGGGGTCGGCGGGCGCAGCCCCCGGAGCCATCTTGTGGCGACGGCGGCGCGGGGCCCGAACGGCGGGCAGCTACCTGCACGATCTCGCCCTCCGCGCTGAGCGTGGCTCCGGCCCGCGAGAAGCGGCCCGTGAGGCCGGTGGTGTAGGTGGTGTAGTCGCCGCTCGGGCTCGACTCGAACAGCACCACCTCCACAAACGCCGTCTCCTTGGCCCGCGCCGCGCCGGGCCCCGCGACCGCCAGCAGCAGCCCGAGCAGCAGCGGCAGCGGTGGCGGCGGCGGCAGGCGGTGGCCGCGGGGGCCGCGGGGGCGGCGGCGGCGGCGGCGGCCCGGGGCCCCTGGGCGCCCGCCCGAGCGTGGCCTCATGGTCCTGCGGCGGGAGGGCGCGGAGGGCGGGCGCGGCCGGGCATAGTCGCGGGCCGGCGGAGGACCGAGTGCAGGCGGACGCCTCACAGCCCCATCGCGGCGGCGGCGGCGGCGGCAGCGGCGGCAGCAGCAGCGGCTTTGTGGGTCGCAGGCTCGGCTCCGCACCCCCGGCCGTCGCGCCGCGGCCCTTTCATCTGCTCCACGTGAGGGGTTATCCCCGCCCCAACAGCGTCGTGACCCGCTCTCCCCTCCCTCCCGGCGCTCGACCGCCGCGGCCTCCCGGGGGAGCGGGAAGGCGGAGCGGGCGCGCCTGCGGCGGGGGGCGGGGCCCGATCGCCGGACACGCCCCCGCCCTCGCTCCGCCCCGGCCTGCGCTCCACCCCCTTGCCCCAGCTCCGCCCCCGCCTGCCCTCCACCCATTGTTCTTGCCCCGCCCACCGTCTTGCCCCGCCCATTGTCCTCGCTCCGCCCCCGCCGTCTCTACCCCCGCCCCCTCACCCTCGCTCCGCCCCCACGCTCACGCTCCGCCCCTTCGTCCCTGTTCCACCCCTGCCGCGCTTGGCCTTCAGCGGCAGACATTACTCTTCACGGTTGACAGAGTTAGGCGGGAATGGGCATTGCGTCCTGCTCCCTGGCCATGCGCGTCCTTTCTGGAGGCCCCACGCCTCCTGGTCCCTTGCAGGAGTTAGGAGAGCCTTGTCCTTCCCAGCTCCCCCACCTCAGTCCACGGTTCCCGGGAGTGGGGCACACGCACCTGGCCCTCCACCCTCACCCCCACCTCCAGGATCAAATGGGAAAGGCCCTGATGATCAGGGGTTGTTAGCACCTCGGCCATGCTGGCACATGTTCGGTTCCTGCACCGGTGTAGCCTAGACAGTTAATCTCAACGGGGTGAGGCGGGGAGAACCATTGATCCATTTGGGTTTTAATGGAGTTCATTTTTATGCAGTCCCAGAGACTATAACTCAAACACCCCCCTGGAGAAGTTATGAAACTTTGAGTCTTGCCTTGAGCAGAAAGCCAGAGGATTCCAGCACATTACCCTTTATGCACAGACTGATGGCTGCCAAATTAATGTGTCGAAGACATGTGCTACAAGGTCTAGGGTTTCCCCGGTTACCCAGAAGATGAATTTTCAATTCCCTGCCCTTCTTTGAAATGTGCCATTTCCTTCCTCATCTAGTCCTCCATCAGAATGAAACCCTTTAAAATTCAGTTTCAATTCCCACTTCCTCTGTGGAGTCTTCCCTCAACCTAGCAGAATGGCTTTGTTGAGATATTCGCAAATATTTGAATAGGATGATCTGCTTCTACTTGCTACCACACACAAAATATGAAAAAGAAAGAATGAAAGAAAAAGAGAGACAACTTGAGAATTTGTCTTGAATAAACAAGGTTACATTTTAAAGTAGGAAAAAAATATTTTAAGATACAAAATAGACAACACACTTTTTAAAATCTCACAGATCTCCATCGCCACATTCGGACTACCCTGAGCTTCTGTTAAAGAGGGAGGTACCTAGGAAAGCCCGGATCTGTATATGGCAGCTTTTAGTTTTTCCAATACCAAGCCTAAATAGTGCTAACTGAAACTGGGCAACATCAGTCCAGATGACAGTATCCCCCTAGGCAGCACAGCCCAGTCCTTATTGGGGAGATCAGTTACTGCAGCCCACCCATAACACTTTGCACTATTTAAAATTCAATGTCACCATCTACTGATGAATGGATAAACCAATGTGGTATATCCATAAAATGGAATATTATTTGTCAAGGAATGAAGTACTGACACATTGATGAACCTTGAAAACATGCCCTGAGAGAAGCCAGTCACAAAGAACCATATAGGGTATGATTCTCTTCACATAAAATGTCCAGAATAGGCCCTGGCTGGTGTGACTCACTGGATTGAGTGCCACCCTGCAAACCAAAGGGTCACTGGTTCGATTCCCAGGCAGGGCGCATGCCTGGGTTGCAGGCCAGGTCCCTGGTTGTGGGCATATGAGAGGCAACAACATATTGATGTTTCTTTCCCTCTCTTTCTCCCTCCCTCCTCCTCTCCCTAAAAAGAAATAAATAAATTATCTTTAAAATATGTCCAGAATTGGCAAATCTACAGAGACAGAAAGTAGATTAGTGGTTGCCAGGGGGTGGGGGGAAACAGGAATGGATAGTGACTGCTAATGGGTTTCTTTGGGGGGTGATGAAAATGTTCTGGAATTAGATCATGGTGATGGTTGCACAACTCTGTAAACATACTAAAACCACTGAATTGTATACTTTAAAAGGGTGAATTTAATGGTATTTCAATTATACCTCAATATAGTTGTTAAAAATTTCAGTCATTAGTGGTATTTTTATGCAAACATGTGCACATACATGTACACAAAATACTTTGTAAGAGGATTCTCAGCTTAGTTCAAATATCACACCCTCAGCAAGGCCTACCCAGGCTATTCTATTTAAATTGGCAATGTATACCGTGTCCCTGACTCCCAATCTCCCTCAGCCTGCCCCATCCACTCTCTCTTCCCCACCCCCACTGTGGCATTTATTACCTTCTTACATACTAAATGATTTGCTTATTTATCTTTGTCTCTTCTCCATGTCCCACAAACATACAGCCAGAGAACAAACTCTATAATGGCTAGGATCTTGTCTTGTTCACTGATTTAGGCCAAGGCTGCCTGGCCCAGAGTAGGCACTCAAAAAATATTTGTTGCATGAATTAATGACTAAATGACTTAGTGATAAGCTCATCCTCATGTATCCTTTCCATTTTGCAGACATTTGGGGCAGCTTGTTAACTAACAGCTGCTTAGGAACACCGGGTTTCACGGGACCAAAATAAATTCTGAATGTGGAGAAGAACAACAGTTCTTCCCACAGTGACTTCAATGAAAACCCAGATAAGGGTCAAAAAGAAACAGGTTTCAATTTCTAAAACTGCCTCAAGAAAGATATAGTTAATAAGACACAGTCCAGCAACACAAAGGTAACATGATTCATCTCTCCGCAGTATAAAGCTGTTAGAAATGGAGATATTTACTGAGTAATGAAATTTTACCAAAATCTGGCAGGCAGTAAAGGGAGATAGAATAGAACTTCAAAAAAAGATAAGACCCATTGGGTAGGAGCAAGGACTGGATAAGTGGGCTGGATCAAGTGATAGGAGTGAGGAAAAGTAATGCACTTTCATTATCTTTCATGACACATCCCTAGTAGACCATCTTGAGAAGAATTTATCTTGTTCCTTTCCCTATTTATCAGACTCAGACGAAAATAACCAACAACAGGTACATCAATATCAGTTAAAAACTGCCAGACCTTTGGCAAATCTCATTGACTTAGGCCAAAAACCACACAAAGCTTCAGGAAATTTTCTGCCATCCAAGTTCTATTTATATGACTAAATAGAGAAGGTCAGGGATTTCCAATCTATAAACATAGGCTTTAGTACCTAAAGACACTATCTGTATATCTGTACTAAATAAAAACAGATATGGAGGATATTCAGTGCAATATTGTTTTTAATAATAAACAACCTAAATGTCCATTAGCAGATTAGTTCAGTAAATTTTGGTACAACCATTTAATATAGGATGAAATACATATTAAATAGCCATTAAGAAGAAAGAAGATGCATTCTATGAACATATACAGAATGATCTCCAATAAATACTGCTAAGTGAAAAAGATGTGCATGTGGGATGTTGCAATGGGGTTGGGAGGCAAGGAGACAACAAATACATGAAGATTTGCAAACATTAACTATGTGTGGAAGGAGGCGTAAGAAATGAATAAATGGTTGTCTCTGGGTGACTAGGAGGGAAAGGACAGAGACCTCCAAGGGAGGCCTACTTTTCCTGTGCACCTTTTGTACCTATTGAATTTGCTCCACGTGCATATATTACCTACTCAAAGGTAGTAAAATGAAATAAATAGACTAGCCTGCTAAATAAATCAACAGATTAACAAAAGCGTATTCATTAAATAAACATTGAACACCTACTATGAGACACTGGAATACAAAAAGAAGTTGGCCTATAATTATGAAAGATGTTAGCATTGGAGCAATCTATGTAATAGGTACACAGGACCCCCTGTAATATTTTTGCAACTTCTTCTAATTATTTACAAATAGAAACTAAGTTTTTAAAAAAATGGATTAACTAGTCCCTGTGTTCAAGTAGTTTCCTTCTTTTCTCCCCTCCATCCTTTTTTTCCCTTTATTCTGCAAATATTTGTTACAATATGGGACAGTTAGAGAAGTCTTAAAGGATAACAAAAAAAAGATACTTTAACTTTTTTACAAAGGATTTTAAGAGTTTGAATTTCATTTTGCTTCTTTAAGATGATTCAAATTTAAGACATGATAGCATTCTTCCACAGTATTTATATCTATTTCTGGAAACTTTCATTTATTGTATTTAAACATCATATAATTCTCTTGAAAGGTACAATAGATGTAATACAGACAAGTAGCGGCAGTTCTTTCAAAACTCTTAGAAGTGTCTCTTCCGCCTTTGAAGTATACCATCAATCTATGTCGACTTTACCCTTGAGGCAGAGACCAATCTGGGCCCCGATTCATCAGTGATTTAAACTCTGCTTCAACCTGTTTCTGCTTTGCAATGGCCACCCAACCAGGAGTCACAAACTCAAACAAAGCTCCAGGGGTCAGGAAGGGAATGTGACTGAGTGAGGTGGGCCAGGTGTAAGCAAAAATAACTAGCAAGTAAGATGGTAAATGGCAAAGGTGCCTCGGGCAGGAACACCCTTAGGAGTGTTGGCCTGGGAACACACGGCTAGTCCCAAGGGCCGATAAACACGTTGTTGCTCTTGGGAAGACAGGCCCATGATTCATAGATCTTCTGATTTGTTCAAAAGAACGAAAAATTCAGGTACGTTTGTAGTGTCTCCTGGTTTTTAGATGTTTGTAATAGATTTTAAAGATTTATATTGTTCTGTGGGGCCAAATAAATATATCTACAGGCCATTTTGGGGGCAAAAGACAGAGAAGAAAAGCCTAATTCTAAATGGATAGGGTCATAAAACTATCACTTCTAGACTGTGAAGGCAGAGGGAGAGAAAGAAACTGCAAGATCTGAAAAGTACAAATACTGCACTATATACAAGAGAGATGTGGGCTACACCCTTGACCACAAGGGACACCTGTCTGCAGGACAC